TGCATATATAGGGTTTGGTACATTTTGTGGTCTCAGGCATCCACTGAGGATCTTAGAATATATCTCCTATGGATAAGGAGACACTATTCAAAAATTTTTAGCCCTGGTAGGGTAGCCCAGTTGATTAGTGTCATCCTGATATGCTAAAGTTTTGGGTTCCATCCCATCAGGGCACCAACAGGAATCAACCAATGAATGAATGAATAAGTGGAACAACACATCAATGTGTTTTGTTTCTTCTCTATCCCTTCTTTCTCCTCCCTCACAAAATAAATTAAAAAAAAAAACTTTTAACAAAAGTTAAATTTCACAGTTATGATTATACTTCATCAGTATGGGAAGGATATAGAATAAAATGTTATTTCATCATATAGTCTTAGATTAAAAAAAAACATTCAGGAGATTGGCAGATAACTGAAGTCTTGACACTTTCTGTATGTTTTAGGTTTCTGTTCTTCAGTCTACAAAAGATTCTTCTAAAAAGATATGTGTTGCTAATACTCATCTCTACTGGCATCCCAAAGGTAGGTTTTATTGGTTTTCACAAGTGATTTAAACATGATAACTTAAGATCAATAAAGCTGTTTTACACAAATATATTTTTTCCTTTAAGTTTTATTGAGATATAATTGATATACAGCACTATAGAAGTTTAAGGTATACAACCTAAGGGCTTGGTTTGCATGCATTGCAAAACGATTCCACAACAAGCTTATATAGATACCAAAAAAAAGTGGTGTTTTATTTTTCTTGTGATGAGAATTTTCAGGATTTATTCTCTTAGTAACTCTCAAATATCCATAGAGAAGTGTTAACTATACTCATGTTGTACATTAAATCCTTGGTACTTAGTTATTTTATAACTGAAAGTTTGTATCTTTTGACCACCTCTATCTAATCACACACACACATACACACACACTCACAATACACATCTTGAATGTCACACAAATGCTGTAGTTTGTTAGTTTCTTTCTTGGTTTTGTTTGTTTTAACTTAAAGGTAATTTTAAAAGGTACTTACATTAATGTTTTTTTATATTCATAGGTGGGTACATTCGTCTCATTCAAATAGCAGTAGCCTTGGCTCACATTAGACATGTCTCATGTGATCTGTATCCTGGCATACCGGTTATATTTTGTGGGGACTTTAATAGTACCCCATCAACAGGAATGTATCATTTTGTCATCAATGGCAACATTCCAGAGAATCATGAAGACTGGGCTTCCTATGGGGAAGAGGAACGATGCAACATGTCTCTTACCCATTTCTTGAAACTGAAAAGTGCTTGTGGTGAACCTGCTTACACAAATTATGTTGGTGGCTTTCATGGATGTCTGGATTACATTTTCATTGACTTAAATGCTTTAGAGGTTGAACAGGTGATTCCACTACCGAGTCATGAAGAAGTTACCACCCACCAGGCCTTACCTAGTGTTTCTCATCCCTCGGATCACATAGCACTTGTATGTGATTTAAAATGGAAATAGATTTGTGTTTAATGGAATTTAAGTCTGCTTTAATAAGAGATATTTAATATCAAAGTTTATGTGTAACCTTCAAAGAGGAAAACTAGACACTAGGTTCTTAGTTCTTACCCTACTAGTTGTTTTAATGTCTTCATTACATGACTTCATCATCTTTGTATAATATAGTTTCTGTACTCTTCCCTTCTCCCCCCATTCCCCCCTCCCCACACACACACACACTTGGAGGAAAAACAAATATATTTATGACTGGCAGGGAACATTGAATTATTGTGTACATTTTATAAATACTTCTTTTTTTTAGCCTCGCTATTAAGAATTTTGTAAAATACCATTTGAATGATGCTATAATTTTTCTATCATAACATTTCCAATTGAATCATGTTTATATAATTAGGGGGGAATGCATACAAGTTAAGGAGAGGGGCCTAAGTTCTGATATATGAGAGGAATAACAGTAGGGCTTACCTCTACCTCAATTTGGTTAGCAATTTAATACAACTTGAGAACTTTAACAAAAGATAAAAATATTGTTACTGCTTCTCTTTCATTTTTCAATTAACATAGTTTCATGCTCTTATTTTTAGGATTTTAGCTGTTAGTACAGCTAAATATGTACAAATGAACATATTCATATATTTTTTACTGCAGCTCATTTTAACTTTTAGGATGCAAGCACAATTTAATATTCAAAGTGAACAGTAACAAAGTCAGCTTTATTCCTTTAAGTACTCTGGCCCATGAAAAGTGTTCGTAAATTAACAGAATGTGACCATGTGATATTAGAAAATACAGCACAATACATTATGAGAAACTGCTTACTGATGTGGACTTTAAATTTTGGATGAACTATTGAGCATTTCTATGTTAGAAGTATTTTTTGAAATTGTTGGTTTTATAAATAGAAAAGGGGGTATTGTGGCTTTTGAGGGTCTTGGAAATAAACATCCTTTTATAGGCTTGAGCACTACAATTTGAGTTGCAGGTAAACATATGTATAATTTATATACTGTAAAAAAAAATTTTAATATGAAGCCAAACTTTCTAAAATTAGAAATTACAGTTTACTGAATGGTATCTGGCCTGGTGTGGTAACCAAGCTTTTCTAATTCAATTATCACCATACCTAATTTGTAACACTTTAGCTGTTGTAATGTTATCTCATTTCTGCATTTAATTTCCAGCTTAGATATTAAAAGCCCATCCATTTCAGGAAGAGCTTTTTCCACAGTTGTGAGAGCTTTTGTTCCAAATTCTTTCATCTCTTTCATCTCAAACCCAACACTCTGAGAACTTCACTCTTGATAAAGTAGCCCATACTTTCATATTCTGCTCACTATCCATTGTATTTTTAACTCTTAGTTTAGTAAGTTTGAGAATGAGAAGGTTTTACATGCACTTTAGCTTGAACTTTAAAGTACTTAAAAGTACTTGAGGGGGGAAACTAAGGATCTTTTTTACAAAATCTATAAATGAAAAATTGGTATTACCAAATTGTGCTTTCCTAAATAACATTTTTGAGAGCATTTTTAACATCAGTTTATAAATATAAAAGCAAGAACCTGATTCTTTTGAAAAAACTTTTTTTGAAATTTGGTTTTGGTCTGTCATCAAGCAAATATATTGACAGAGTTTTACAGTAACTTGAGAGAAACAAAAAGCTTCTAAGCAAAAAGCTGAGAAACACTTTGAAAGAAAAATTATAACATGATACACTCATGCCCAAGAGAAAAACATATAGGTCCTATATTAAAACATGGCTAGTTAAGTTGAACTCTGGTCAGAAAAATTCTAAACACTTAAAAAGCATTCCACATCTGGAATCTTTTAAATTTTTTATTTCTGACTAAACAGTATGATCAGATAGTATATAAGCATTTCAGAATATTTGAATATAGAGTATTTTAAAGTGCCACATACTCTGATTAAATCTTCAGTATACAGATAGGTTAGTATGATAGAGAGTCCAAAGGTAAGGAACACTAAGAAAACTGAATAAATATAGCAAAATTTCCTTGTATTTCATCTAGAATAAAGTATCATTCATAAGTGTGTTTAAAGCCAACTTTGTGACTGAATTTTTCAATTATATTTGGACTTTTAGTACATTTAATTTTAATAAAATATAGAAAGTAACAACTCTATGGTGAACCACATTTTAAGATGTCATTAGTTCTTTAAAAATATATATTTTTTTTTTATTGATTTTTTACAGAGAGGAAGGGAAAAAGGACAGGGAGTCAGTCAGAAACATCAATGAGAAACATCAATCAGCTGCCTCCTGCACACCCACTAGGGATGTGCCTAAAACCAAGCACTGGAATCAAACCTGGGACCTTTCAGTCCGTGGGCCAATGCTCTATCCAATTAGCCAAGCCACTTAGCCAAACCAGATGTCATTAGTTCTTGCTGTAGGATTGAAACAATCTAAAATTTTATATTGATTATAAAAAAGAATACATAGAGCACATCCAGTGACTGAACTTTTGCACAGTTGCCACTTTAGTATACACTGGTAATTCATAATTCATTAGCAAACATTCCTGGCTATAATGTAATGTTCTTTAACATTCTGAATACTAATATCTGTTGTTTCAAATTTCCAAGAATTTCACTGGGTGAAGACTTTTCTGAGAGAATTAAGACCTGATTATCAGAATGTGATTTCAGACTGGAGGTAGATCTCTGAGGAACATAAGAAAGACAGGTTCCAAATACTACTACTGAGGTAAGAACTCCCTGGTGGAAAGTGACACCTTTAGCTCTCATATTCTCCAGCTACGAAATACAGTCAGAAGTTGCCTACAAACTAGTTTGAGACAAAACCAAAACACATACATATTGAAGGGTAAAAGTTTGCACTACTAGTTTATCACAAATCCCACATGGCAACTCAATAGGGAAAATCTTTCCTCTAAAAAATTAGAGTCAACACTGGTTTTCTAAACATCCCAAAACATTTAAAAATATATATTTTATTGATTTCAGAGAGGGAGAGATAGAAGCATCAATGATGAGACAATTATTGATTGGCTGCCTCCTGCATGCCCCCTACTGGGGATGAAGCCTGGAACCTGGGCATGTGCCCTTGACCAAAATCAAACCAAGGATCCTTTAGTTTGCAGGCCAACTCTATCCACTGAGCCAAACCAGCTAGGGCCGAAAACACTTTGTTTTAAATTTTTTAATATTTTGTTCAATATAGTACTAGAAGGAAATGCTACCTAGATTCCATTTGGGAGATAAAACAATTCAAGAGCTTTAACTGATTTGCATAAAGCCTCACTTTATGTGAAGGTCCATGCTGTAACTTATTGAAGGTATTAGAGCTGCTCTGGGGTGGCTTTTGAAGTACTAACTTTAGAACAACAATACATTCTGAGATGACAGTACCAAAGCATTTAAAAAATATATATATATATATATATATATATATATATATATATATATATATATATATATATTGATTTCAGAAAGGAAGAGAGAGGGAGACAGAGAGAAACAATGATGAGAATCATTGATGGGCTGCCTTCTGCACCTCCCCATCACCTCCTCCACCCCCACTGGGGATTGAGCCTGGGCCCCAACTGGGAATCTGTGACCTGGTTCATAGGTCAACACTTAACCGCTGAACTACCACAGCTGGGCAAAAGCATTTCTTTCAATTGAAGTGAAATTCATATAAAACCAACCATTTTAATGTGATTCCATTTCATTTAGTATATTCATGATGTGGTACAACCATCATCTCTAGTTCCAAAATAGTTTCATCACCTCTAAAGGGAACCCCTTATCCATTAAGCAGTCACTTCCTACCCCTCCAGTCTTGGCAACCTCTAGTCTGCTCAATGGATTTCCCTATTCTGGATATTTCATATAAATGGAATCATATAATATGTGACCTTTTATGTCTGGTTTCTTTTACTTAGCACAATGTTTTTAAGGCTAATCCATGTTGTGTCAGTACTTCGTTCCTTTGTATGGCTGAATAATATTCCATTGTATGGTTATGCCACATTTTCTTTATCCAAATGGATATTTGGCTTGTTTCCACCTTTTGGCTATTTTGTGAATAATGTTGCTGTGAACATTTGTGTACAAGTTTTGTCTGGGCATGATTTCAGTTCTTTCAGTTATTTAAGGTATTAGAGCTAGCTGCTCTGGGGTGGCTTTTGAAGTACTAAAAAGTGGTTGCGGGGCCATGTGGATATTGCGTTTAACTTTTTGAGAAGCTGCCAAAATGTTTTCCACAGTGGCCACACAATTTTACATTCCCACCAGCAATGTATGAGTTTCAGTTTCTCCATATCCTCACCAACTTATTTTACATTTTAAAAAATTTAGTCATGGAAGTGAATGTGAGGTGGCATCTCGACCAATGCATTTCAAAGTTGCTTAGTCCAATCAGTTATGTTGTTGCAGTCATGAAGTAGATTATTCACAATGGATTATACAACCCCCTATATTTTTTCCAGCTAACTTCTCATCTTTAGCAATTCCTACTTTTATAAGCTTCTGTGAAGCTAGAAAGGTCTTATTGCTTCTTTTAAAAAGATGCAGTTAGAAAAACATTACACACACACACACACACACACACACACACACACAGGCAATCCCAAAGCCCTGGAGTGTAGTAAATAAATTAGAAGTCTATGATAAAAGGAACAAAAGTGGGTCTACTTCAGTGATTTCAGAGAATAAATTTGCTTACTAATGTTAGCTTTTAAATGCTTTAAGCATGTTCCATTGTTACCCACCACTCTTAAAATCCCAATTTAGGTACTGAGTAGCAGCAGATGGCATGAATGCCTAAATATGAATTCCTGAGAAAACAGCTGTGTATGGCTGAACATACCTTTCCAAGTTGTAATACATAATCATAAAAAATAGACTAAACTTTGACTTTTAAAAACCTTACATTTTGAAAAGAAATCTTAAGTTCAAGATAAACTTAAAAAAAAATATTGAACTAATATGACTTTTTAAATTATACTATGCCTGGTTGGTTGAGGGATTACCTATGAACCAGGAGATCATGATTTGATTCCTGGTCAGAGCATTTGCCCAGGTTGCCAGCTCCATCCTCAGTAGGGGGCGTGCAGCTGGTCAGTGATTCTCATCTATGTTTCTATCTCTTCCTTTCCTCTCTAAAATCAATAAAAAATAATTTTAAAAAATTATATGTTCGCCAAAACCAGTTTGGCTCAGTGGATAGAGTCGGACTGCGGACTGAAAGGTCCCGGGTTTGATTCCGGTCAAGGGCATGTACCTTGGTTGCAGGCACATCCCCAGTGGGGGGGGTGCAAAAGGCAGCTGGTCGTTGTTTCTCTCTCATCGATGTTTCTAACTCTATCCCTCTCAATTCCTCTGTGTAAAATCAATAAACATATTTTTTAAAAATTATAATATGTTCTATTTCAGGATTAATTTATCAGTATACAAGTCCTTTTTCTATTATGGTTTTAACCTTACATTTTATTTTTAAAAATTATTTTTATTGGTTTTAGAGAGGAGAGGGAGAGATGGAAGCATCAGCGATGAGAGAGAACCATTGATCGCTGCCTCCTGCATGCCCAGAGCTCCACACTGGAGAATGAGCCCACAATCCGGGCATGTGCCCACACCAGGAATCCAACCATGACCTCCGGGTTCATAGGTCGATACTCACTCACTGAGCCACGACAACTGGACTGCTTTAAATTATATTTATATAGGACAAACAGCTATCATAGCTGTTTTCGTTTGCCATGTAAAAGTGTATTATATTGTGAATAGAATATTTTTTCCATTTTATTGCAAGCTAGTTATTTGCAATTCAGAACTTTTTGTATGTTTATAGCTAGCTATATTACCAGGCTCCATGGATAATTAGAATAGTGTGTGTGTGTGTTTTCAATTTTAGTTTATAGATTTCACTTGAGTCTTTAGCAATAAAGGAAAGAGAATTTCTCTTTCCCAATATTTATACCAATCATTTTATTGTTATGCTATTATTTGTTGAATTATAGTGATTGCAGACTCATGCTTTGGTCATGATTTTAATGGAAGTGGCTTTAGAATTATTTTTATTCTTTTTTGCTAACTCGTCGTTTATCATTTAGATATTTTTTACTTGAGGATTTTTTTTTTCTTAGAATTTTCACAATTTTCAGGATGTGGTTTAATCATGACAAGTTTATTAGTGGTGATCACTTAGTGATGTTTTCTTTTTTTAATTTGTTAATGGGAATGATTTCTCTTATAGATCTCCCAGTATTGAAGCTTGTACTAATATATTAAATTCTAGTTGTTCAAAGCATAAAAAGAAAACCATAAAACTATAATATGGAAAAAATATTTTGTTGTTAGCCATCTTCAGTGTATTGAATCATATGGAAGCCAAGTGTTAAAATTAACATTTTATTTATATAATTTATTTTTTATATAATTTTTTATTTATATAATAGTCCTTAAATTGCAGACCTCAAAAATACTAAATCTTTCAGTTGGCTGCAACCCCTCAATATAACTACCGTATTTTTCGGACCATAAGACGCTCCGGACCATAAGACGCACCAGTTTTTAGAGAAGGGAAATGAAGAAAAAAAGATTCTGAAACAAATAGTGTCCTAAAATATTTTATGTGCATTAAAACCCAACATCACAGTCATAAACACATGTAATCAACCATGTAAAGTAAACAGCAGCATTTAGAACCATTTTAGAGCCGGGCAAGCACACAGAGACCACACAGAGCCGGGCAAGTAAAAAAACTTTTTTTTTAAAGTGTATGTGTAGGCTATATTTGGACCATAAGACACAGGGACTTTTTCCCCCCCACTTCTGGGGGGGAAAAAGTGCGTCTTATGGTCCGAAAAATACGGTAATTAAGAGATGGATTCATTCCGCTAACAACTAGTTTGTCAAAATCCATGTTCAGTCTAGCTAGTTTTGCTTAGTGAATAGAGTGTCAGCCTGCAGACCAAAGGGTCCTGGGTTCAGTTCCACTCCAGGGCACGAACCTCGGTTGCAGGCTTCTCCCCGGCCCTGGTCGGGGCTTGTGTAGGAGGCAACCAATTGATATGTTTCTCTCACATCAATATTTCTGTCTTTCCCTCTATCTTCCACTCTCTAAAAATCAATGGAAAAATATCCTGTTTTCAAACTGAATCATCTCTACCTTTTGTTCATTTTGCATTGATTGTATGTCAAAGGGTTTATATAATGCAATCCATTTTGCCCAGTACTCACTTTAATGATATCCTAGGATGTTAATGTATTAAAATATTCCTAGTTTGCATTTTTGCTGATTTCATCTCATTTTGTTCTATAATTGAAAATGGTTTAGTAGGGAATTGGATAGCCTTTATTTATTTAGTTGCTTTCTTTTATTGAATGACCAATACACAGATTTTTAAAATATTGCCTATAATCTTTATTTCCTCTGTGGAATAATTTGAAGAAATGGTGTATCCAGAGATATAATTATTTAGAAATAGCTGGCCCTTCCTCAGAAAACCAGAGTGAAGTATATCGTTTTAAAGGATATCAAACCAAAGACTATTTCTGAAGCTGTAGAATGTTTAAGTATTGCAAATAACATTTTTTAAAAATATATTTTATTGATTTTTTACAGAGAGGAAGGGAGAGGGATAGAGAATTAGAAACATCGATGAGAGAGAAACATCAGCTGCCTCCTGCACACCCCCCACTGGGGATGTGCCTGCAACCAAGGTACATGCCCTTGACCAGAATCAAACCTGGGACCCGAGTCTGCAGGCCGACCCTCTATCCACTGAGCCAAATCAACAGGTTAGGGTGCAAATAATATTATTACATTACTGTTTATTATATACCTAAAGAAATCTGGCTTTTTGCATCCTGGCTTGTGTACTTTTTCTTCCAAAATAAAGAACCACATGATGCTTTGGCTTTTCAATCTAAAATTGATCTATTTTCTCTTTAAGGACTTTTTGTCCCTGCATGTCAACTGAATTGGCAAGGATTGGCCCCAAAAAGAAACCTTATAGTACTCATCAATTTGTCAATTAATGGACATTTGGATTGCTTCTACTTTTTGGCTTCTATGAATAAAACTGTACATTTATGTTCAAGTTTTTGATTGGACATATTTTCATTTCTCTTGGACATATATTTAAAAGTAGAATTTCTGGACCATATGGAAAATGTTTAACCTTTTAAGGAACTGCCACACTTATTATCCAAAGCAGCTGCACCATTTTGCATTCCCACCAGCAATGTATGAAGAAGTTCCAAGTTTTTCCACATCACTTTGGTTACAGCTATCCTTATATGAAGCAGCACTTCACTATGGTTTAAATCTGCATTTCCCTGGGGCTAATGATGTTCAGCATCTTTTCTGTGTGCTTATCGTCCAGTTGTATATCTTCGGAGCTCATTTAAAAAAACTGAACTGTGGACAAGCAGATGGCCAATAGAGACATGAAAAAATGCTCAACATCATTAATCATCAGAGAGATGCAAACTAAAACTACAATGAGATATTACCTCACACCTGCCAGAATGATTACCATCAATAAATCAATAAAAATTGCTGGCGAGGATGTGGAGAAAGGCAACACTAGTACCCTGCTGGTAGGAATGAAGATTGGTGTAGCTACTATGGAAACCAGTATGGAATTTACTCAAAAAATTAAAAATGGACCTACCATTTGACCCCGTATTCCCACTTCTAGGAAGTTATCTTAAGAAGCCAAAAACACTAATCAGAAAGAAAACATGCACCTCTGTGTTCAAAGCTTTATTTACAATAGCTAAGATCTGGAAACAACCCAAGTGCCCATCAGTAGATGAGTGGATAACAAAGCTGTAGTACATTTACATAGTGGAATACTATGCAACTGTAAAACGGGATGCCTTGCCATTTGCAAAGCATGAGTGGACCAGTGTGCGGGAGCAAAGAATTTTTAGTAACCACCAGAGGTTTGTTCTGATTACAGCAACCAGCACCCCGCCTTGGTCTGGCACCACCGCTCACCTGCTTCACTATGCCGGCACCCGCCTTGTTCTATGTGCACCCCCTGGTGGTCAGTGCACATCATAGCAACCGGGTGTTCGATTGTTCTGTTCCACCATTTCAGTCTATTTGCATATTAGTGTTTTATAAATATAGATTAGGTTCCACTTGGAAATCATGTGATATTTGTCTTTCTGGTTTCCCTGAAAATAAGACAGTGTCTTATATTAATTTTTGCTCCCAAAGATGTGCTAGGTCTTATTTTCAGGGGATGTCTTATTTTTCCATGAAGAATACGGTACACATTTATTGTTAAATGAAAATAAAGAAAATTTATTACCTGTATACGGTACGGTAGTATGGTAGTTGTCAACACAAACCAGACAAACTGTGAATCCTTTAGTATCAAGAATTTACTCATTCAATGACAATCATGTCATCATCTTCTGGAGCATCATCATAACAATCCAATTCCTGAATTTCCTGGTGAATTTGTGACTCCATTTCTTTCAGAATCAGTGGACCAAATCTCATGTTTAGCCTGCGGGGGGGGGGGGGGGAAGCTTATGTTCGGGGGATGCCTTATATTTCACTCAGAAGGAAACCTGTAAGTAGGTCTTATTTTTGGAGAATGTCTTATTTTCAGGAAACACAGTAGCACCGGCCCTGCTCGCACCTGCTGCT